TAATTCCTTCCTTTCTTTTCTTCTTATTTTTCTTCTTCTTCTTCTTTTTCTTCTTCTTCTTCTTTTTCTTCTTCTTCTTCTTCTTCTTCTTCTTCTTCTTCTTCTTCTTCTTCTTCTTCTTCTTCTTCTTCTTCTTCTTCTTCTTCTTCTTCTTCTTCTTCTTCTTCTTCTTCTTCTTGTTTTTCTTACTGATGCCACGTTGTAGCCCACGTAATGGTTTTTCCGTATTTGTCTTGAGGTTCTCGTGTGCCCCTGGTGATGGATTTGTTCATCTTATAGCAGGTTTCGGCTTCAACATTTATCCATTTCTTTCTTGCCCCAACTCCCCCACCCCCACCCCCTCCCTTTTCCCCCGGCCTTCCTTCCAGATGTCCTGCTATGAAAAATTGATGTAAAAAATCTCACATGTAGTTTGGTCTGGTTGCATTCCATTCTCACTAGCTGGACAGACCATTTCATTCTTTGTATCTTCTTCAGACACGGTCTTATTTCAACTCTCTATGCTGGTGTTCGTAACTCGACCCTTTCTTGTGTTATTAGTAACCTTACTGAAACCGAGCATGTCACATGTGGTTATTTTATGTCTAGTGCTCTAATTGTTGTCAATTGACAGTCCGAAATCCGCACAGATCTGTCTAAAGTTAATTCCTTCTTGTGCAGTAGCTTTCTTGCTATGCTTGTGGCGGGGCGCGGCAAAGAAACAAAACGTCATCGCTAGAATTATGAGGTAGAAAAGGCTTGTGCTCTGAGAAAGTGGCAGAACGCCAAAAAAAGCAGTATTGGTCTGCCTAGGCGTATCTTGCACTTGGGAACGAAAGTCTGTTTTTTCACACACAAGCACACAAAATATTGGTCGAAGCGGTAACAAGTGAGAAATGGACAGAATTATGTCAAAGAATACACAAAGACAAGTCACCGAAAATGTTTTGGCAAGTACACAAAGGTGTAAATGGTGCAGTCATAGACAGAAGTAGTCCCGACTTCCAGGATGCTGACCTGTCCTGACAGAGGACTGATACAAGGGCAAAACTCGGTAAGAACACTTTCTAGAGCGGAGTTGCCAGAGTTTAAGGACGCAGCCTTGCCAAGACTCTTAACTAACACTAGAGGAGTCGCATACAATTTAGAAGAACGCATAGTAAAAGTAGATGAGATCAAGAATGTGATAAAACGAACAACAGTGCACTAGGTCGGTATTGTAAAAAGCTAGATTACATTAGCAGTGTATTGAACAAGGTTAGGGATAAGTAGCAGATATATATACGACAATAGTTTTGCGCGTGCTGGCATTAATGAAGAATGGTTACACAGCTGACTAATGCCCTGCCTAGTCTTGCAGAGACCACATGAAAATGCGTGGGATATCAGGGAATCACATAACAAAATAATGTAGGCAAGCTTTTGAAGAAAAAAAAAGCTACAAAAATGCCAGTCCGGCTGGAAAGACCATGTCTATTCACACCTATCCGGTAGCGTGCGGCTCATAGACACATCTGGACCAACGCGACGGTATTGTGCGCACGTCTACGAACGTTTCCCTTGAGTATGAAAGCATGTGCTGAAGCACAATGATTTTGAGGATGCCTTTAACAGAGTATCGCTGAATTTCTTAATGGTCCAGCTTCCTTGAAATCAAGACAAGTCCATTCCTTCTGCATTGGATTTTTGCAGCCCTCCTCCAGAGAAAAGTGGTTTATGAATGTGGCAACTGGGCCTCTGAACCAACAACGATTCATCCCGGCTTGACGCGCGGTTATCATTATCTCCGGTTACTCAGTGTTTTATCATCATCATCATCATCGTCACTTCTGCCGTTAAGCCCTGTAGGAAGGATTAATTTGAGATCCAGTGCACGCTGTTTGCCACTGGCTATTGTCATACCGTGAAGGCGTAGAATGTCTTTAATGTTGTTGATGCATAATTTCCGCTGTCGTCCTCTTGCTCTTGTAGCTGATCTTCTGAGATGTAATGCTTGTGATGGTATATGATCTTGCTTTATTTTAACGAGATGGCCAAACCACTTGATCTGCTGTTTCTCAAAGAAACTAGTACAGAATGTCGTTCCCTTAATTAACCTGATAGTTTCATTATTCACTCGATCTCGGATGGTTAATTTGGCTGCTTTTTTCGGGTATCCCATCTTGCAGGTGGTTATTTTGCGTAAATAGGCTTTAGATAGTGTTTACAAATTGAAAATCACAGTCGAACAGATGACAGGACAGTGAAGGGTACTGTCGAATGCTGACGATGTGTGTGGACAAATGGGAAAGAATGGATGGTTCTAGTTCCAAATATCCAGATTGCAGATCATCACTTCATTGAAGTGCAAATTATTTCTGGCACTATTGCTGCATTACTGATTGCAGTGAAACATTTTTTTTTCTCTTTTTCAACATTTCAACAATTTTTTTCTTTTTAAAGTTACAACTCATAATTGTTTTGCTTTTATTGTTAGAGGAAGGACACTGGATAATGTTGTGGCCATCGAAAAGATATGTGGAAAGATAGATATAGGAAAACGATGAATACCATTCTTGGCAGCCTTTTTGCCATTACATGGGGTGGTGTCAACATACACGCAGTTTAAGATCGTATACTGTGAAGAAGCTTGATCGCCCGCGCCAGTCGGTAAGGCACTTGATGATGATAATGTTGCTGATGATGATGATGATGATGATGATGTTGATGATGATGATGATGACGGTGATTTAAAAAGACACTCACACCAAAAAAAAAAAAAAAAAAACGGGACGATTCAAATGTGAGATGTACGATTACACCGAGATAGATGACATGCAGTTCTAACGCTATGTATCAGGTCCAAAACCTTGGCATCCAAAAGACAATACAAAAAAAAAAAAAAAAGACACTAGTTAATGCCCTTTATTTCCCAGCATGTAAATAAAATCCTACACCCTTACACACATGAATTTCTTTAAAAGTCTGACATTTCTAGTCCCTTACTAAGAAGGGTAGCACCCTGGTTTTTTTTCTGGCGGTGCAAAGTACCGGCACCTTTGATAGGCCGCCGTTTTCCAGAGCTATTATAATAGATACGTTGTGTAATAGATACGTTGTGTAATAGGTACGTTGTGTAATACGTACGTTGTGTAAAAGGTACGTTGTGTAATATATGCGTTGTGTAATAGATACGTTGTGTAATAGGTACGGTGTGTATTAAGTATGTTGTGTAATAGATACGTTGTGTAATACGTATGTTGTGTAATAGATACGTTGTGTATTAAGTTTGATGTGTAATAGATACGTTGTGTAATAAGTATGTTGTGTAATAGATACGTTGTGTAATAAGTATGTTGTGTAATAGATACGTTGTGGTCAGTTCCGACACCTTTTGTTTCTAGGAAAAAGTGCCATCGTAGCAAAATACACAAAATTAAAATAGCTCAAAGAATATTCTAAAAACAGAACAGTCATTATGTGAAATAATGTCACAAACTATACACCCAACGTGTCTAGAAACGTAACCCCTATCTAAAAATAGTAATAATGATAATATAACAGGGCGCTTGCAGAACTTTGCTCTCATCACAGTCTGCCTGAAAAAAAAAAAAAAAAAAAACTACTTGGTCTCTTGTCAGCTTTTCAGCTTCGGGCACTTTCCTCTCCATGGTGCCACTTATATCCTGTGCTCATCTTGGTGCTGGTCGGTCCCTGCCCCTCTCTCCTGGTACCATGCCCTCAGCTATTATTCTTTCAAATCCGCATAAACGCCTGATTTAGTTAGATAATAATAATAATAATAACAACAATATTACCAACAGTTTTTCAAAGGAAAGTAAAAATAATCATATCATTAAAATGATTATATATATATATATGTAAATAACCCCCCACCCCCTTTTTTTCCCAGTTTCATTATAACATTATAAAACAAGATTACGGAAATAAATAAATATTAAAAAAAACTGTATTGAAAAAATTGTTATTTCCACCACCAAGTGCCATGCTGAATTGCGTGGTTACCGCATCGTGTTTTGGGAAAACGATTGTAGCTGAATTCCCTCCTCGTCTTCCTAAATACACTACTTTATTGTGATAAATATAAATGGCATACATTGTGGATTTGTTAATAGTGGTAGTTGTATTAGTAGTAGTAGGTGCAGCTGTTCTTATATTATATTATACATGTTCTTATAGATTCTTGAATCAAACATCAGATTCATCATCACGCTCACGAATTTATTTCAATCAGGGACTGTCTCCTCAACAAAATTTGGCTACAGCGGATTTCGAAGTGCTGCTTCTCGTCCTGGCTGCACACTTTTTGAGTCCGCTGTTTGTCAACCTCTTCATGTTATGCTCCTATATGTATCGCTTTCTATCTTGCCTTCGACTTTTCTCTCTAGAATCGTTTCCATAAGGGTGTTATCTACTTTAATGTGGTCACTATATTTTACTTGTCTTTGTTGTGTCTCTTCAGCGAAGTTATGAGCTGCTCAACTTATCTCTAAATCTCTAACGGTAGAATTCAAATTGGAATTATCCGGAAGCGGCAGAATTGTAGTTTGTAGGCGAATGATGAGAATACACTGGAGAGATAACACAGAGTAATGGAGATGCTTTGAAAGAAACTGACTCTCGATGCGAACTGATTGCATACATCGGGAGACAATCTACATTCTGTGGTCATGCCTTGAAAAGAAGAAAAGTGGAGTACCTTGTGATTGGGGGGGGGGGGGGGGGAATTGCTGGAGGATAAAGAGACAAAGAAAGATCGTGAGAAAAGATGCTGAGCAGTTTGACATCGTGGCAAGGAAAATCATCGGTGTCAGAACTCATTGAATGTACACGAGGAAAAACGTTGTGGATATTTATGTTGTTGCAGTTGTGTCGATATGTCCTTGTCCTTGTATATGTTGTACTCGCACAAGTTTTTGGTTTCCCCTAAAGACACACTGCGCACAAACTAAAAAAGAAAACAATTTTGTGACAAAGTGACAATGTTGAAAGATGAACTGAATTCGGATCCGGTGACCTGTTCAATGGCTAGTGCATCCATATGAATCATCGGAAGTGTCCGCGGTACCAAGGGTGTACGAGGAGATATCGTTGAGACAAGCCTGCTGGATACGCTCCACCTTGGCCGGGGCATCTGAAAACCAGTTCACATGGCATTGATTGTAGGTTATGGTTATACGGGGTTTAAAAAAAAATTATTTGCTTTTAGCGTAACATGGCAATAAAACATAACACAGGCAGTTTTCGCGGACATGACTGAGAATATTGTACGGTATGTAAACATTTACGTAGTCGTTCTTTTTTGTCTTTTGACAACATAATTTCATTCAGTGCCAACTAACACACGGTCGGTTAGCTGGTTTTTAGTTGAATGGTTGCACTTTTGCTAATACCAATACCCCATCAAGGTGTCTCATAGTTTCTGTGCCAGTCTTTGTGCTAGTTGTCCCTTGTTCCTCCGGCTCTATACCCTCAGCCATTGTTCTTTCAGGTCACTGTTACGGTTGATATAGCCAAAGTATTTTAGACACATTATTTAGTATTCACCGCCATTTGGTTAATAAGGTCATCAGTAGTTTTTGTGTGTGTGTGTGTGTGTGAATATTTTCTTCGGTATTGCAGGTGTGTTGGGAAATGAACAGACAGACAGACTGGTTAGTTCTGCACGAATGTGTTGTGAATTAATGCATGACATGCTAGATGTAGTCAAGGCCCTTTGGGAGCAAGTGAACAATGCTGGAACCTGAATCTGTCATTATGGTTTGGGGAGAATGCTACAGCTGGGAGTGACCGCAGAGTCTGGTCAGCACTCTAACTTAGAGGAAATCCAAGACGGACTTATAATCAAACTGCTACCCGCACTATCGGAACTCTTTGCTGGCTGCTGCAGATAAGGACAGAGCGCTAATGGGAATGTCTCGAGTGCTGCGATGTCAATTCTCAGCCCAACACACACAAAAATCATGTTAAATCATGCTGTATTCAATACCCAGGAATTCTTAGTCTAACATCCAAAAAAACAAACTCACAGAACGGGAACCAGCCCTCCTGTCCGGCTTCAGCTCGTGCAGCTTCTATAGCTCGCTTCAGGGCAAACAATGGGCAGGCTCCTTGGACGACTCCACTCTCGCCTACGACTGTGGACATTGTATGTGCATAGAGACTTTGAGTGGGTTTACAGTGACAATGCAGTACACACACATACACAATGATTTTTAACACCCGCATACACATGATAATTTTCAATTCACACATAAATATAATAATTTCTGAAACAAACTGACAGACTGACTGACTTTCTACCCTCACCAGGACATCACACAAGCAGTAAACACCTGATGACACAATGTGCCACTATGTGAGTGAGGATCGCTGTGGAGAGGTCCCAGAAACCGCGTTCAGCCTTTAGGCCATATTTATAGCCGGGCTATATTGCGGCCCCTGGTAAAAGCCAGAGTAGGGCTTCAAATTACGAAAAATCTCATCCTAAAAATATTGAAAGTATAGCTGAAACAAACGTACACATAATAATTCATGAACACACATACATATAATACATTTGAACATACATGTAGACATAAAAGAAATGTGTCGCACACATAACCATATTAAGAAATCAATCCAGTGAACTGTACTAAACAAAACTTAACAAAAAAGGAAACGGAAAAAAATTGTCTTTTTGACCGGGGCCATTCTCGACATAAAGTACTCAAAAATAACAAAGGGAAAAGTACTCTAACCACGAATACCCATCAAGAGGTTATGAAAATAGCTATAACAAGAATAGAAAGAGAAAAGCATGATGTTGAATGAATAGAATGAAACAAAAAGTGTGCCAAAACTATTAAAAGTACTCTCGTCCTCTCAATCTTAGCAGCGATGTGGACGCAATACCGCCATAAAGGCTTGAAAATACCAACGTGATCCATAGACCTGCCATCTGCATGTGTTGTAGTGCCAACGTAGTCCCTGGTTTGTTATCTTAGGACCGCTATTTAAAGGTCTGACACCCTAAGATTACAAAATACTAAACGGACCAACATGGCAAATCCTAAATACCCCGTTCGTCATCATCATCATCATTATAAACAACTTCTGTTGACAAGCGCTGTGGCGAGGAATAATTTGCGATCCAGTGCACACTGGCTGCCACTGGCCGTGAAGGCGTAGAGTGACTTCAGTGTTGTCGATCCATATTTTCAGCTGTCGTCCTTTTGCTCTTGTAGCTGATCTTCTAAGTGGTAGTGCTTGCTATGGTATTTGATCTTGCTGCAATCTATCTGGATGGCCAAACAACTTGATCTGCTGTTTCTTGATGAATCTAGAACAAGGTGTCGTTCCAACAATTTGTCTAATAGTATCATTATTCACTCAATCTCGGATGGTTAGGTTGGCTGCTTTTCTCAGGCATCTCATCTTGTAAGTTGTGATTTTGCGTATTTAGGCTTTAGATAGTGTCCATGCTTGGCACTGGTAGCTTGATGTTGGAAATGAATATGTTGTTTACAATCTTTGCACTCATAGTTATGTTGGGTGTCTCAATAATGGTAACATTTGGTATATAAGCACACTCACTTTCTGAAATCTGGTTTCTATTTCTCTGTCAATACTATCATCTTCCATGATCATACTTCCTAGATATTGAAACTCCCTAACCTGCTACCCCGCTTGATACCCGAAACAGTTATAACTGGAGCACCCGTAAAGGCACACCAGATGTCTGTAACTTGCAGTCCCTGGGGATAATGATTCAGTATAGAGCAGTACCAGCAAATCTATTCGCCCTTTCCTTGTCGACAACACTCGCTCCCCATGACCAACATGAGGATAACTCAACACAGAATGGACCGTTGCAGGTAAATAGTATCCCCGAAGACTGTACTTCTTACTTTTGGATCCAAGGACACCTGTCGGATTTGGCGCATTCCTCAAGAACTTGACATTCAGTTTGATGGGAATGTCTTTGGGCAACGGCGGCTTGTAGGTCTAATGGATTTAAACAAACACATTTCAGACTGTGGTTAACAAAGATGCATTGTTTTTAAAAATTAAAATAAATATCAGGAAGCTTCAGGGGTAGGTCTTAAGACATCACAAATCACCCATTACCATTATCTACCTTGTCAGCTGACACAGATTAACATTTTTCTTTCAGCCTGCGGTTTTCAAGAGAAAGATCAATTGGTGTGTCAGCATATGTCAATGCTAAGGTGACAGCTAAAAAAAAAAAAATTCTATGCAAATGCATTAGCCACTCTGAAAGCATAGAGTCTTCCATAAGTCCCTGCACAGCGACTTTGAGTCACTCAAAACATGTTTTCACATGACAAGTACTCAACTCTCAAGACTCAGAGCGGAGTTATTGAACAACATTGTGACTGTTAAGAATCTTATTGAACACCCTATATTTTTGTCTAGACGCTATAAGTGCCAAGTTCTGCAAAAAGACGGCCCTTACCGATTATAAAGACAGTTTATCAAGTGAACAGGTTCACCAAGGAACATACTCTGTACTTACATTAGTGCTGTCTGTAAGTGCCTTGCTTGTGTTGGGATCCAGTATGATGTTCTCCAACAAGAACATCCCACAGCCTTGGATGAACCCTCCCTCTACCTGCCCCAAATCCAGCTCCGGATTCATGCTGCAGATAAAAACCCATATGGGGAAATTTACATTCACTTCTTGTGTTACTGAGATTCAGAAGCTAAACTAAGATCAGTCTTAATGTAATCCCTAACGCATGCCGTAAGAGGCCTCTAAGTAGGGTTGGAGTAATCATTTTCGTCGTCACCCTTAGCAATCGCTTTGGGCACAAAGTGCGTCACCTGAATTTGTTATAGACGACTCCATTGTCATGGGTTATGTTGTCAGCATGACATCATGGGACTTCACCTGGTACCCATGTTAGGATTGATCTACAAACTTGTTGGAAGGCGAGAGGATTGCTCTACAAGCTTGCTGAAAGGCGAGAGGATAGCTCTACCAGCTTGTCGAAAGGCGAGAGGATTGCTCTACCAGCTTGTTGAAAGGCAAGAGGATTGCTCTGCCAGCTTGTTGAAAGGCGAGAGGATTGCTCTACAAGCTTGTTGAAAGGCGACAGGATTGCTCTACCAGCTTGTTGAAAGGTGAGAGGATTGCTCTACCAGCTTGTTGAAAGGCAAGAGGATTGCTCTGCCAGCTTGTTGAAAGGCAAGAGGATTGCTCTACCAGCTTTTTGAAAGGTGAGAGGATTGCTCTGCAAGCTTGTTGAAAGGCGACAGGATTGCTCTACCAGTTTGTTGAAAGGCGACAGGATTGCTCTATCAGTTTGTTGAAAGGCGAGAGGATTGACTTTATTGCCCTGTGTATTGTCAGCAGACTCCATCTCTCTGGATCTTTCTCGCGTGCTCTCTCTCTCTCTCTCTCTCTCTCTCTCTCTATATATATATATATATATATATATATATATATATATATATATATATATATATATATGAGGGCACAAAAAGCAATAATCTCTATAACTACTTACAACATGCACACAATGGCGACAGAATGACTATTCTCTACAGTCTATAAGCATCTCCTTAGCACACCAGCGCATCTCCCAATTAGTGTACGAAATTAAAATTCACAAACATGTACACACAGACAAACACACACGCACACGTGAGCGTGTGCGCACACATGAACTATCTACTGTTCACACCCCCCCCCCCCTCACACACACACACACATAACACACACACACACACGCACACCCACCAAAGCTAGGCCATCGAAGAGAACTTAAGTAGGTAAGAATAAGACTATATTTCAAACAGTGTCATAGCTAGAAAAGGGCAGCAATTTTAGAGCGATGTCTGCAGCTATACTTCACCTAATACCACAGTCATAGATATAATCCTCCTGTGTGATCTGGTACTGTCCTGTGAGGACGTCCAGCTCAACCTCGGCACAAGCAGCGATGTAGCTGTTGTAGAAATCTAGGGGCTTTTCTGGCCTGAAGAATCAAGGAAGGAGACCTAATTTACGCATGTAACTATATACTTATTTATGTGATAGAATGGAATAAGTTTCGCATTTGTGCACACATTTCTCACTGCAAGTACCATTGATTTATGTTAACGGAGCGTTAATGTGAAACTTTTCCGTGCCTCAGTGTGCCTATTTGCGTGCACTGAACGTGATCTTTTCATAGTCATTTGATATGTACAGTACTGACCAATGAATGAAAGAGCACGCGCTTATCGTCCCATGATACGGTTCTGTTTCTATTGTTGACAACCTGGTTGGGTTGATCCAAAACCCACTCAAAGAAGCGTAAGAGCCATGTTTCTGGTCTTTTTTTAAATTTCATTTGAAGGATGTCGACCAGTAGACATCCATCGAAGAATGCATGCCGTGTACGGTAACAAATGTTTGACGAAGACAACAGTGACGCACTGGTCACAGATGTAAAGGAAGGATATGGATTCACGATGAATCGTCCACGGTCGGGTCAAATCCAATTTAGCATCGCCAAACATATGAATCTTTTCCGAAGCAAACGTTCGTTAGCGAAAGTATTCGATATTTCAGCTGGGACAGATTAAAACGATGTTTGTGAGAAATTGAAATATCTAAAGGGGTGTTCACAAAGGTTATCACGGATGTTGGTCAACCACGCGAAGGAGAAACGGTAACAATTTGGCTTCGTTAGCGACCACAATCCTTCTGTGCGGGCGGTATTCGCCGCCTACCAAAGCAATGAGATACTGGCCTAAATGTCTACGTGGACTTTATTTGATCAAACCATGGTACGTAATTCATTCAAAATAAATACGTTGTTTAATGCTGCCACACCTGTAGTTTCTTTAATGCCTTTTAATAAAGCCACTAGAAAGGGTTTCAAATGAAGGATTATGATATTATACTGCCAAAATGAATGTATTGTTCCCTGTCTCAGGCTATCAATGTTTGTTTTGTAGGTTTCTGGGATAAGTTAAAAAAAATTAAACCATCTGTTGAGGGTGTACTGAAGGTCTTTACCGGTTCCTCTTGATTATTTTGAAAGCTCGTTCTTGTATGTTAGAATTCATTTCTAACTCTTACAATATGGTTGTATATGTCTGCTGAGTTAGAAATGGGTCAAGGTCACTGAAGATGACGTTTGATATTATGGGTAAGATCAGGAATCGTGACGCCAGTTACCGTCATAATTATCATTATCATGTGGCAGGTACTTCACAGAAGTCGCCGCGATCACGACCCAAAGGAAAGGAATTGGGCTTTTCCGATATCACAGCTCGTGTATTTTCACAACCTGTTATCTCCATGATCTCGCGTCCACCTTTGTGTTGGTAATTCCTTGCATGGACTTCAATTTACCTTGCCTTATGTTCGTTCTGAGCTTTTGAGTCTTCCAACATTGTCCAAGCATTTCACTTGCCGGGGCCTATTTTTACCCGTGAACCAGTTTAGTTGATTCTTAGATTATACAGAAAATCAACATTTTTCGTCATATTGGCTGATGGCGTTTAAAGAATGTTTCTGTAAAAGTGAAGTTTCTTTTAAAATGGCTTCATATTCTTCCATGAAACATTTATGTTTGTTACCGCTTCAGATGTACACCAACTGGTGTATTTGTATCATATACGCCTCAACAGAACAGCAGTTTGCCCACAGCATCACACAAACAACTCAGTGTCATAGCTCCAGAAGTTTTTCCAATTCTTCTGCATTCGGCCTCTAAATAGGTCACTGGCACGTTGTATTGTGGTTTACAGCTAAACCGTGATATCTGCGCCTTTCGATCCAATATATCTAATTCCAGCAAACTATAGTTGGTCGCCTGTTACGACATGATTTGTAAGAGGAAGTATGTCACTATTTTCCCCGTCTTCAAAATGGGTCCCCATCACCAACAAGAGGAAGTCCCATGGAAAAAAAATGGTTCCCAGCACCCACGCGAGGAAGTTCCATGGAAAAAAATGGTTTCCAGCACCCACGTGAGGAATTTCCATGGAAAAAAATAGTTCCTAGCACATACACGAGGAAGTTCCATGGAAAAAAATGGTTCCCAGCACCCACACAAGGAAGTTCCATGGAAAAAAATGCTTCCCAGCACCCACACGAGGAAAAACATAATTAAAAAAAATCACTCTTCTGGCTTAAATTATAGAAGTCACAGAATATTTGTTAAACCGGGCGAATCTTACCAGTACTGTGCTGTCAGGTTCACCCCGTCGACGAAAGCCTTTCTGATGAGTTCCTCCCAGCTGGGATTTGTGAGGGATTTCCTGGTTGCTTCCAGGCGTGCATTGAGTGTATCACAACATTTGATGACCGCCTGCAAGTAGAACTGAAAGTGTCAGCCACAGAATGTATGCCAATCCTCGGGTACATGTGTAATATAAATGTACAAAGATCTTGGCTCCTAGGTCAACCCAGCTTTAAATGTGTACAAGGTAAAGTCCTGGGAAGCAAAAGCGGCTGGCAATGCTGTCCACATTACCCAGTGAGTCCCAATAGTCTATAAAATATCGACTGGCCCCTGTCCGTCTTTCCAGAAGATAGAGTCATAGTGCGCCATGAGGAGGCATGGGACTCACAGTCCACGGCGATACCAAAGAGGCTATCAAGACTCGAGAAAACTGTTCTACATTTATAGCAAGGACATTTCTGGACCATTTTTTCTCAAGATGTGTGTTTATTCTGTTTCGTCTAGGACGCTTAGCTCTCATCCTTTCTGCAGTCATTCATTCCTTCATTCTCATTCCCTTGCTGATGAGCCCCCTCCACACAACACGGTCCATGACATTCTGTTCCCTCGAGTCTACCTCAAAACCTGTATCATTCATGTCCTGCTTCCACATATCTTAATATTGTAGGAGAGGTCGGCCTCGACATCTTCTGCCTGTCTTCAATTCACCAATGAATATTTCCTTATGGACTCTGCCATCATCTATTCTCCAGGTGTGACCCAGCCACCTGAGCATTCGTAGACTGAGCATTGAAAATACTGTTGTAATACCTGCTCTTTCCAATACCGCAATGTTTGTGATCTTGTCCTGCCACTTTATGCCAAGTATTTTTCTTAGGCATTGCAAATGAAAGCTATTTACCGGTCTCTCATAAAATATAGGTCTAGCCCTATATGCCCAATACGCGTGAAGGGGTGGAAACGGGTCTTTCACGGTTACTTGTGTGAGAAGACGAATGTGTGGAAATTATGTTGGTAAGGTAAGTGAATCAGAAGCAGCTGGGTTTGCCTAAAAAGACAAGTAGAAATAACTAGTTTATCTCCTAAATTTAGAAGCATCTATTCAAAATATCCACTTATCAAGTCATCTAATGATTTACAGATTCATCAGTTCATATACAAGCGCACATCTCATTCATATGTAATATTATTTGTCTATGTATTTATTAATTCATTGATAAAAAATCTTCATTTACTTGACCATTAGGTTCTTAATTCCTTAATTAATATTTGATCTGTGTATTAACTATACATTCATTCATGCATTCATTCAAATCATTGACGTATCTATTAACCCAGCCATATAATAATTGATCTATCTTTCTTAAGAATCATTCAATCACCTCTATTTCTCCAAACATGTCATCATTGCTCTTCTGCTATTTATGTCCAAATGGAGCATTGATTATCAACCAACTTACGCCAAGATGTCCTGTCCCTCGCTATAGCAGCCAGCTCACTCTAAGATGTCCTGTCCTACACTATTGCAGTCAGCTGACGCCAAGATGTCCTGTCCTACACTATAGCAGTCAGCTGACGCCAAGATGTCCTGTCCTACACTATAGCAGTCAGCTGACGCCAAGATGTCCTGTCCTACACTATTGCAGTCAGCTGACGCCAAGATGTCCTGTCCTACACTATAGCAGTCAGCTGACGCCAAGATGTCCTGTCCTACACTATAGCAGTCAGCTGACGCCAAGATGTCCTGTCCTACACTATAGCAGTCAGCTGACGCCAAGATGTCCTGTCCTACACTATAGCAGTCAGCTGACGCCAAGATGTCCTGTCCTACACTATAGCAGTCAGCTGACGCCAAGATGTCCTGTCCTACACTATAGCAGTCAGCTGACGCCAAGATGTCCTGTCCTACACTATAGCAGTCAGCTGACGCCAAGATGTCCTGTCCTACACTATAGCAGTCAGCTGACGCCAAGATGTCCTGTCCTACACTATAGCAGCCAGCTGACGTCAAGTTGTCCTGTCATTCGCAGACACTCAACTTGCGCAGAGTTGTCCTATCCTCTGTTTTTGCAAGCAGCTCAGCCCATGTCCGCCCGATCTGTTTAAATTTACTCTCCAGCTTCATTCTCAGAGTGCTTTTTGGTGTACCAGTTTTTCTCTGTCCCTATGGGTTCCAGTGCAAAGTCATTATAGTTATGTTGCTCTCAGGTGTTCTTAACGTGTCAGATGCGACGCCAGCATATGTACATCTCTTCTTGTCCCGCCAACATTTACTCAGTTCCCTCTAAAAGCTCCGTGTTATTGTTTCTATCATGTCATTTGGCTAAGGCGCCAGATAATGAATATTCGTAGTTGTTTAATAATTATTTTTGTTTGTTCTGGATGCAGCAGATCCACACAACAGTTCTGATTTCACATTAAAGATAGCATATCCATGAGAATAGCATAGCAGCTACCCTCTCGACAGGCGTAGGCGTTTATGCATCTCCAGCTATCCCGGTCTCTTGTTTTCTGGATCATTCGAACCGATGATATTCCTCTGTGCCACTGTCGCAAATCAATGCAAAATCATCTCTCTCGGTCTGCCTACTCCCTCTTCTACCGTTGATCTTCTGAGTCGTCAAAAATACTCCCCACAACCTCCCTCTTCATCACATGTCTGCTAACTCGTGTTTGGGAGTGCCCGTGGTGTAGCGGCTTGACGCTCGCCTGCGGATCGAAAGGTCGTGGGTTCGGATCCCCTTGTTCAGCCTTAAGGGTGCCAGGTGCCGTCCTGTGGAGTAAAGGCGGCCGGCGTGATGCTGAACACATGACCGGGGGAGTGCCGATTGGTCTTTAAAATACTGACGCAGCCCTATATGCCTAATTAGCCTGAAAGTATGGAAAAGGGTCACTAATTATTTTGAATTTTTTTTTTCAACTGGTCACTTGGTCACACGTTCGTCACCTTACACTTATCATGTTCACTTGGTCGCACAGACGGTTCGTCACCTTACACCATCATGTTCACTTGGTCACACAGACAGTTCGTCACCTTACACTATCATGTTCACTTAGTCACACGGACAGTTCGTCACCTTCCACTATCATGGCCACTTGGTCACACGGACAGCTCGTCACCTGACACTATCATCATGCACACACCTACCGCACAGACACCGTGTCTACCGGCAGATAACACTCATTATCTATGTATGTTATTTGTACTGCCATCCATTCAAACACCCGATCAACACAATCACAGCTTATGTACGTTGCAAATGAGATCCGTTGTTGTAGATCCGCCAGTAAAGTCAGAGTTCGCATTGATTACGGTTGAAGATGTGGCCACTTTGATCTTGTCCATGGAGATCCCTAGTTTGTAAGCGCAAGTTTGAACAGCCTAAAACAGAGGAACATTTTAATGATGTCAGTTACAGTGAAATTCAGCATCTTAAGAACGTATAGATACAACAATTTCTATGATGAATATATAGTCAGATATTTTATGCAAAGGTAAATCGGCGTCTGTGGCTTAAAAACCCGCTTCGTAATTCTGAAGTACTGGGTTCGATCCCATCCATGAGCGACTTGGAAGCAACCAGGACTACGCTGGTTTCTACAGTAGTTAGGACAGTCCTGTACGCAGATATATGTACTTATATGTACAGGGCACTTATATGTAAAAGTAAACGAACCCCTTTAATGCTGGTGGTACATCGGGTATTTGCCATTAGATCCAGGTTCTATAGATGAAAGATTACCTATCTTCTATACATAATAGACCATCAATAGATGATGCGGTCAATATTACACCGAGCTAATTTGTTTCCCAATACATTATCTGATACTTGGTTTAAGTTGCACCTACCTGGAAGCTAATGTCACTTTTATGGGGGAGTGGGGGAGGGGGCGGTTGCATGTTAGTGGATCTAACCCAAGACATTGTGGCCTCTCCGAGAACGTCTTGCTACTGCCCTGCAGCGGTCTGCAATAATGCTGGCTTCTTTCATTATTGCTAGATTATGCCCTGGCTTTCAATCTAGGGTTTCCACATTCTACATAGCACATTTGCTTCACGTGACCTTGTAGGACACGTGAACAACCCTCTCAGGTAAGGACAAACACTGGAGAACAAGCATGGGTAGCAGAACCAACAACCACCTATGCACTATGAACACCCTCTCAGTAGCTATATTAATCATATCCTAAAGTACAGATGTGAATCATGGACAGTTGGTTGATTATGAATAATTATGCGGAAGAAGTGGAGATCTGGTTTTATGGACGGCTGATAAGAACGCTCTGGACAGATAAAAACGAGAAATGAAGATGTCTCAGAAGAATTTGATTGACGAAGAGAACTGATTGCTCACATCTGAAAATGACGGTCTCATTTCTTGCGTCACACCATGAGAAAGAGAAACCTGGAGTACATGGTGACGCTGGGCAAGCTGAAGGGGAAAACTGGAGTATATCGTGACGCTGGGCAAGCTGAAGGAGAAAGCTTGAGTACATCGTGACGTTAGGCAAGCTGAGGGGGACAACTGGAGTACATCGTGACGTTGACGTTGGGCAAGCTGAAGGGGACAACTGGAGTACATCGTGACGTTGGGCAAACTGAAGGGGAAAACTGGAGTATATCGTGACGTTGGGCAAGCTGAGGGGGAAAACTGGAGTACATCGTGACGTTAGGCAAGCTGAAGGGGACAACTGGAGTACATCGTGACGTTGGGCAAACTGAAGGGGAAAACTGGAGTACATCGTGACGTTGACGTTAGGCAAGCTGAGGGGGACAACTGGAGTACATCGTGACGTTGGGCAAGCTGAAGGGGAAAACTGGAGTATATCGTGACGTTGGGCAAGCTGAGGGGGAAAACTGGAGTACATCGTGACGTTGGGCAAACTGAAGGGGAAAACTGGAGTACATGGTGACATTGGGCAAGCTGAGGGGGAAAAGAGGCAGAGAGCGACCGTGGGAGAATGCTGAGAAGATTGATGTTATCGCATGAAAGATCATCTTTGTTAGAACATTGAAAGTACACGACTACCATAGCCACTCGACATGGACTACAAGAGAAAGAAAAAGAGCATTCTTCAGAGAATGGCAACAGCTAGTCTCTAAACCAAAGAGCACTTGCGCAAATGAAGAAAATGAGACTAGAAAACAGCAACCTAACAAATATGTACATTTACTTGCTTAATGACATCATGCCTTCATTCATTGCCCTTTTGTTTCATTACATGCCACATAAGTCTGGCAGTCAATTCACCCTTCGGTTCTATTATGTGCAATCACTTAGCTATTATGTATAGAATCCAGTCTGGCAGCTTTACCTTCTCTCATCAACGTTCATCTTTGGGTTTCTCTGGTATGTCTACGTTTCCTCAGTCTCCCCATTACCCGTCTCGGCCAGGCTGAAGTTATTACCTACATATGACTGCTAATTACCTCTGACTGGATACGCCTGGCTGGTTATACTTGGCTGGTCAGACTGGCTGGTTACAACTGATTGGTTAAACCTGGCTGGTTACACCTGGCTGGTTACACCTGACTGGTTACACCTGGCTGGTTACACCTAACTGGTTACACCTGGCTGGTTACAACTGACTGGTTACACCTGACTGGTTACACCTGGCTGGTTACACCTGGCTGGTTACACCTGACTGGTTACAACTGACTGGTTACACCTGACTGGTTACACCTGGCTGGTTACAACTGACTGGTTACAACTGACTGGTAACACCTGACTGGTTACACCTGGCTGGTTACACCTGACTGGTTACACCTGGCTGGTTACACCTGGCTGGTTAAACCTGGCTGGTCAGACCTGGCTGGTTACACCTGACTGGTCACACCTGGCTGGTTAACCTGACTGATTACACCTGGCTAGTTACACCTGACTGGTTACACTAGGCTGGTGTGGCCATTACAAGTGCCCTAATTATAATTTCTTTGGAGGTTGAGCGGGGTAACTGGGATTTGCCATTTCTGCCTAGATTACGATTTTGTAATCCCAGTTTAGCATGGCAAGCCTTTAAATAGCATCCTAGAGGGTACAAACCGAGCAATAGATTGATCGATCAGTGTCTGGTGATTCTCTGAGTCTCTCCAAAGAAAGTGTCCAATATAGTGTCCTATTCTTTAATGTTGTTACTAATGGTTGCCCAGATATTTCTCTTATTTATTCACTCCTCTTTAATTCTTTCCTTTGTCTTCAGGGATTTCTTTTCGAATGGTTGAACTTTCGTTCCATGTCTTTAGTGTTCTCCAACTATCACTGGTTTATGTTGAAACTGAAATATCGTTACAATTGAAAACACGTAGATAGGTTCTGAAACGTCACCTTGGTGTTGATGCCTTGGCCGATGTCAATGCCTCCATGTGCGATAGACACTGTTGCGTCTCCGTGGTAGATGATGACACTGGTGTTGTGTCGTAATATTGTGTACAGGAAGGCATACCTAGCAGGCATCACGTGCAGGCCTTTCTTTCTCCACCTGTTGGCCTTTTCCAGTCGGAAGAAAAAAAAAATTAAATACCCGGACATGTATTCATGATATAAAGATATTGGCCACAAAACATAGTCGTTAGCGTTATAAGGGGGCATATTACCACCACCAGAAAAAAAAAAAAAATGGATGTGCGCACAAAAATCGAGTTACGGAAAAAGAAGTGGACGAATAAACAAACTTTCCGCCGGAGTTTACAGCCGGGAAGCATTAAAAAGAAGAGAATAAATCTACATCTCTCTGGCTCCAAAGTTCGGCAAATTGTCTTAAAAAGATTGTGTTGTTCACTAAGGTAGCACTTATCACAGGCTCCGGAACTCCAGCATCTTAGAACACTCATCCCGCACTCCTAGTTTTTTTAAGGCTGACTTAACACCCCCCCCCCCCCACCCCACCCTTCCACCCCCATACACCCGTTTAATTGCAAACATTATGTTTATCTCTTTATACATTTTCTTACCTTTTGTTTCATGTTATTATATTTTTTTGCCATTCAGCACACAAATAATTATCAGAACTATTATTGAACACTGGAACACGGCCTATGCCCCTCTGTGATGCTCTAAACATTTATAAAGGGGAATGAGGGAGTGGGGGGGGGGGCGCTCCAAAAATTTCGCAGAATGTAGACGGGCCTGCGTGCTTACTTCGTAATTAATTAATAAAGTTTGTTCGATAGTTAGTTCGTTCGCTGTGGCGGCTGGGCTGCCGTCTATGACACATTCCCATTTGGTATCCGCTTGTATTCAGAGCCACTGGTATCCTATCACCCCAAAATGGGTTAGCGGGTAACATTTTTGTAGCCACCGGGTTCAGTAATATAATTTTTTTGATACTGCGGAAAAGTTTTTTTCGGAGTCCACTGGCGTTGAACCTCAGATTGTTTACCCTGAGGGTGATAGAGGATGAGAATGTTGAATGCTGAATTTAGAATCGATATCACAGCACTTAGGACATTCCCATACGCGCTCCGTCCCCATATTCAGCAGCAAATGAAGAGTTCCGATTTCGATGGTAGCAATAACTGTCTGATTGTACATCTGTCTCGCCTTTGCCTTGAGTGTTGAGCGTTGGCCATATCCCCTGGTAACTCCCCGCAACGTCATTTTCCTCAGACCGTAATGATCTATTTGTGCCTCTGCACTGTTCACTCGCTCGCAAACCGCTCTCACAACATCCAGCTTGTCATACATCAAATCACTACCAAGGGTGGAGAGAAACGGGAAAGGGGTGGGAAAGTATTTGTCCGACTAAGATCTGTTTGACCCACCTTGTTAAAGTCTTCCACTCGCTGTTTTCTCTCAGCGTACTGAATGTCCTTCTCTAACTGCTGGACCACTTGCCTCGTCAGGGTATTGTTTAACACCAATCCTGCAAGTGTCGACTGGGGAAATGCATTGATAACATGTTCATAATAGATACAATGGATATTTCCAGAAATAAAATGCACATTACTGTTTCCTGATTACTGGCAGGGACAAAATGTCACACCCTAGCCTGCACATTTCATTTCGACAACACTAGCCCTAAATCTCAGGTTCACCCCCCCCCCCAACCCCCCCCCCCCAACCCCGCCTCTACCCGTATACGCCGCCCTAAAAAATGGTACTTACAGGCAGTAGTAATAGTTATAATTTTTGACTGATATACTGATTTAAGAATCGATATCATAGCACACCAGGCATGCCCATAGATGCTCCGTCTTCTGCAGCAAATGTCTTACAGCGTAGATAATAGTAATTTCCGTAGCTCACTGTTTATAAATTACTGTATCTGCTTCAAACTGTATTGATTTGCGTATGTAGAATAAGAATGTATTATTTAATACATGTATCTCGCATCTTTTCGAGAAAAAGTTAACACCATCACATTAGATGAGAGTAAAGGAATAGGGTTCCTGTGTATTTACTTCTTTTCTGCCGTCCACAGAGGCCTTTATTGTCTATGTCTGTCTCATGTTATGTTATAACTAGATTTAAGGCTCGGCTTAGCTAGCAGTAGTCAATAAAACTGTTAATTTCTACTTCTTCTTTGTCTCCACCAATGTCTTGTGTTCGCTCGCCGAAAATAACTCTACCATAAGCTCCTACCGCTCCCTAGGTCGTTCCACCCCCACTCCTATTTGACCGAGGCCAAGAAGTCAAAGAAGGGGGACGTGTGTGCCCGAGTTGGAGGATCTTGGTGGAGGATTTATCCGGGATCCCACAGATAAAATCAGCTTATATGATGAGACCGCAAACCTGCCTCCTTCAACCTTCAACCTTGAAGTAATGGCCAATTTTTTTTTTTTTTTTTTGCATATGAGCATTTCTGCTGCATACTGAAATATGGTTGAACCGTTACATGGTTCCAACGTAGATGTGATGACCTATAGGTGTGATTTGATGTCCTACAGCTGTGATCTGATGTCCTATATCTGTGATTTGTTGTTCTATATCTGTGATGAGATATAGAGTCTAATCTTCATCGACAGCAAGAGTGAGAACATTAGGAGTGATTTGCTTTCATTTTGCACTTTTTCAGTTGTTCTGCACCCTATTGGCTCGTTAGAAATGACCTCTCTTATGTTCAAATCATGTTGTCTTGTTAGTTCTGAAGCTGATCACATATGCACATTATCATGGAACATTTCACAAGTTTTAGTGCAGCCAAGCACACACTTCAGTGTTAGCCAATGATCCCGCATGCGTCACACCCTGCCCTATCTGGACATGAGGTTACGTTGTAACCGTCAATGTCCCAATATAAACATGCGGTTGAGGGAATTTATCTTCGAATAGTGACACTTTGCATCTTTTTCTTCGTTTCTCTACTCCTGGAAGGCCACGAGTCGTCAGGACAGGAAGAGAACTTTGGAAGGAGCCCTTCTGTTTGCTTCGTATTAGGTACTTAGTGGTCGACCTCTGTATTTCATTGCTCTCTGTGGTTCCCGGTCTGATGTCAATCTTGTCCTATGGCCAAATCATTTGATTTGTTGTCTACCTGCCGACTCTCCTCCTATTAACGGCTCAGTGTGCAGTAAATGTGGGTTAATCTTCACTCACTCGCCGTAGAGAAACATTAGGAGCCTTTTTAAAACTTAAAATTAACACACATTCATCTTTGCGAAGCCCTCAGATTATCTAGTTGGCGATGCGTCGATGTTGTTCCTACAGCTAGGCGGACAACATATTCATGTTTCTGTTTGATAACTACAGCTTTCGATGTTTATGTTGTTTTAAGTGCCCTGTTATTTCTATCTATTTCATCCGCATCAGTGCCAATCAATGTGTCACAACCCTGTGAGTACAGTCAGTGGCGGAATCTACCACACCGTAAGGTGTGCGTGTTTAGGTGACACCCCAGGGTTGACACAAAGGTCAGGGCCGTGACTGGTCAAGTCTGTTCTGTGACTGCACGGTGAAACCAGCGCTTAGAATAAAGCGTTTGCCCATGGCAAGAGTGAACGCTGTTGGAGACAAGTCGACAGCACGATGACCGCTTTTGGGACTGAGCTGGTGAACGGGGAGAAGAGACACGAGGTGGAGGGAACACAGGACATTCGGTGTGCGACGGTCAGGAAGAGAGGACGTTTAGCAAGACAGTTATAGTATTAGAGTTAGGATATTTCTGTTAGTGACTGGATAGTTTATGTACAGTGTTCTGTTAGAATAGGATAGTTCTTGTGTAGGGTATTTATGCATGTTTTGTGAGAGAATGTCTAGCCTTGACACTCTGACCCTGCACTAAGACAGAGGCTGTGACAGTTTGGTTGGTCAGCGTGTCAATAGGTAAGAGCGTATCACGTGACCGTGTGGTTTGTACACCAGGAGATTGCTTGTGGACGTACTGGGAGCGAGGCGACTGTAAAGCTCGTTCGACCAGAGGGTCCAGGCAATAGGTGGCCACAAAGCGGGAAGTCAACTGTCTATTGTCTTACCTGTACTTACAATAAAGATTGTCGTGTGTGCTCTGTGTGCATTCGGGTTCAGTGTGTGTTAAAGGTTAGTCTGTCTGTCATAGGCCCAGTTACGAGCCACGGACCAGCAAGGTCACCCTGAGGTCTGTGACACAATGCAAATCGGTTTTTTTGTTTTATTTGGCTACTTAAAACTGTCTAAGATGTTATTGTAACTTTACTTCAGGGTAAGTTCGTCTTCTCTTGTGCTGTTCATGCTGGTACTTAAAATGAAGTTTATATTTCTCACTAGTTGCTTACTAATCTACTAAAAGTTTAGTTTATCTTCTCGTGTGTTGTTTATCATGCGACTTAAAATAAAGTGTTGTCTTCAGGTGTGTTGTTTGTCGTGCGACTTAAAATAAAGTGTTGTCTTCAGGTGTGTTGTTTATCATGCTACTTAAAATAAAGTGTTGTCTTCTCATGTGTTGTTTATCATGCTACCTAAAATAAAGTGTTGTCTTCAGGTGTGTTGTTTGTCGTGCGACTTAAAATAAAGTGTTGTCTTCAGGTGTGTTGTTTATCATGCTACTTAAAATAAAGTGTTGTCTTCTCATGTGTTGTTTATCATGCTACCTAAAATAAAGTGTTGTCTTCAGGTGTGTTGTTTGTCGTGCGACTTAAAATAAAGTGTTGTCTTCAGGTGTGTTGTTTATCATGCTACTTAAAATAAAGTGTTGTCTTCAGGTGTGTTGTTTGTCGTGCTACTTAAAATAAAGTGTTGTCTTCAGGTGTGTTGTTTGTCATGCTACCTAAAATAAAGTGTTGTCGTCAGGTGTGTTGTTTGTCGTGAGACTTAAAATAAAGTGTTGTCTCTAGGTGTGTTGTTTGTCGTGCGACTTAAAATAAAGTGTTGTCTTCAGGTGTGTTGTTTGTCGTGCGACTTAAAATAAAGTGTTGTCTTCAGGTGTGTTGTTTATCATGCTACTTAAAATAAAGTGTTTTCTTCGGGTGTGTTGTTTATCATGCTAATTAAAATAAAGTGGTGTCTTCTCGTGTGTTGTTTATCATGCTAATTAAAATAAAGTGTTGTCTTCAGGTGTGTTGTTTGTCGTGCGACTTAAAATAAAGTGTTGTCTTCAGGTGTGTTGTTTGTCGTGCGACTTAAAGTTAAGTTTGTCTACTCATATTTTGGTAATCTTGCAAGAGACAATGAAATGTGGCTTCTCACCTGACCATCTTTGAAGAAATTGACCTTGCGAACCTCTAGGTGATCCTTTTTCAGGTGTGTAGCCACGTGGTCTAGCATGCTCTCCATTGCAAAGATGGCTGTGGCAGAGCCTGTAAATGTGACCACAAACCTTACTGTTGTATTATACATACTTCACTGGGTCTTTAACGTGCCAGTTTAGAGTTAATATGGCTGCTTCTCATTTACCGAGTAAAATCTCGTATGTTCTCTTACACATAAAACTAGACTTTGTTTGCCGAAAATTTAGACAGCTTTCACCACTGATTACAAATAAAATAGTACAAATTAAAAAGAAGAAACGCTAACAGAACGCTGCTCCTATCTGGTGCACGTTAAAATGTGGGTAGCTATTTTGAAACTGTCATTAAGACGTCACCGTTTTCGGCTTGTCAGTGCTTAACACTCTTAACATTCTTAATATCACTGAAAGGTTATATATATATATACTCACAAACACTCACGCACATGCAGTAACCTGGAGCTCACATAGGTGTGATCACATGCACACACGCACACGCACACATGCACTAACCTACAGCTCTCATAGGTGTGATCACAGGCACACACACACACACATGCAGTAACCTGGAGCTCACATAGGTGTGATCACAGGCACACACACACACACTCATGTACTTACCTACAGATCACATAGGTGTGATCACAGGCACACACACACACATGTACTTACCTACAGCTCACATAGGTGTGATCACAGGCACACACACACACATGTACTTACCTACAGCTCACATAGGTGTGATCACAGGCACACACACACACACATGTACTTACCTACAGCTCTCATAAGTGTGATCACAGGCACACACACACACGCACACACATGTACTTACCTACAGCTCACATAGGTG